GAGTAATAAGAATTTAAAAATCCAGAGCTACAAGCTGCGACTGCTAGTTTTTCCAGTACTGTAGCAAAGTCACCAAACTCACGGCCTTGCCCTTACCAAGAAGCCACTTCCTTACAGGTTCCTATAAAGGGCAATGAATTGAACCATTAAGTTTTAAAAAGTAAAATACCCTTTCAACATATAAGCAAGTCAAAGCCACGTTTAAAGAAGAGCAGGAGCATCTGAAGAAGCCCTACCTTTCATGCACCACAAATAAACATGGCCAACACTAGCAACCTGTTTCTTCTTCTGGATTTAGAAGTAAGAGCAAGACGTGAAACAGACCTCACTAAAGCTGATTTAAAAAGGAGAAATGAAAGCTGGGGGGTGAACAGACCAACGTTAAGACTCCACACCTGAGCCAGAGAAGCAGTCTGGGAAAATCAGAGGAGGCACACGGCATCCCAGACACCACCAGCATGGCCCTTCTCCGACCCAGCACACGGTCACCAGGACCATAGGAGGACAGCTAAGAACTGACCAAGGGACTGAGAACAGTGCACGGGAAACCCTGAAAAGACAGATAATTCAATTATGTCATTACTTTTAAAATACAAGCGAGTGGTAATGTTGGTCCATGAGCCCATCAAATCAGAGAAAGTGAGGCATTTTATAGAATAAAAAGAGGAACGTATACTTCTTTCATTTTAGAAAAGACAACCTACCAAAAACACTCTTTGACCACCTCCAGCATGAAGGAAGCTCCAAAGACACACAGGATTCACACACAGCTCGTAACTCCAAGAGCTCACAACGCAGGTGGGGAGACACACCGGCTACTTCACGCTGGTCACCTCGCTGGATGCTTTGTCATCAGTCCCTCCATGTTAATCTCCACAAATGACCTATTACCATCCCAATTTTACAAATGAGAAAACAGGCTCACAGAGGTGACATCATTGGATCAGGGTCACAAAACAGTAAGTGCCAAAGGTATAATATGAAGTGAAGCCTGCTGGCAGGGCATCTACCCCTATTCCGGTGGTTTTCCACCGGAGGGAATTCCGCCTCCTCAGGGACATCTGACAAAGTTTAGAGACCTTTAAAATGGTCACAGCTGGGGTGGTGGTGGCTGATACAAGCATCTAGTTGGTTGAGGCTAGGAATGCTGTTGAACACCCTACAATACACAAGATAGGTCCCCACAACAAAGAATTTTCCAGGCCAAAATGTCAACAGTGCCAGGGCTGTGAAACTGGGGTGTATATGGTTAAGACGCTACGATCATCAGGGAAGGCCCAAATGGAGGCCGCAGCCAGACCGAGGAGGGAAGAAAGAGCATTCTTAACTGGGGTAGTGTGGGAAGGCTTCGTCATGGAAACAGGATTTTGGTTGAGTCTTTCAAAGCATGGGTAGAAAAGAAAGGGTGGTATTACCAGCAGCCTACGACAAAAGAAATGATCAAAGATGTGCAGCTAAAAAATGTGAGTCAGGTGAGTACTTTCTCTAAAATACCTACAAAATGAAACTAGTAAAAATTTATGAATAAAACATCAGGTAAATCTGCATGTATTTATAAATGCTCAGGCATCTTTGACCACTCATAAGAGACTGGTAACTTGGTTGACTCTGGGAGAGAAACTGGGAACCTGAAGGACCTAACATTTCAGAACACTTACGTGCATTACCTAGTTAAAAGATCAATGGGGAAACATTGACCTGCCAGGAGATAAAAGCTGAATCAGGGTTTGCAAGGGGAAATACAGGCTGATATCAGATGGGAGAAAACCTTAAACAGGTTCACAGGAAGAACAGTGATTTAACTTTTATTGGACATTAGGCCAAGTACGATTCTAAAGGTATCATATGCTACTTGGCAAAATGCTAAAGGTAAGTGCTCCAGAGCCAAATGCTCTGGGTATGAATGCCCCTTCCACAGCTTACTACTTTTTTAAAGTCACTTCCTGGCTGCAGGCAAGTTACTTAAACTCTCCCCACCTCCATTCCTCTTCCATAAAATGGAAGGGTAAAAATACCTATTTCATAGAGTTATTGTGAAGATTCAATGGATTAAAATTTGCAAAGTACTTAAAATGATGCCTGGCACATACTAAGTAGCACTGAATAAAAATCTATAATCATCAATAGTAGCATCCCTTTACGTGTAACAATAATCAGCAAGGAAAGTATCTTTATTATTCCCATTTACTCAGGATGAAACTGTGGCTTAAGGAGGCTAAGGAACTTAGCCTAAGTTCTAGCTAGAGAAGCGTCCATCTGACACCAAAACCCAAGCTTGTTCTCACCCCACATGTAGCTTCCTGAAAGCAAACATTAACCTTCAGACAACAGGCACTGGAAAGTCACTAAAGGTTTCTAAATGAAGCAAAGTTTTGTTTTGGAAGGTAACTGCCAATGGAAAGGAGAAAAAATTGGCACAGGGAAATGGAGTAGGATGAGCAGGCCTCTGGAAGAGAAGAGAGAAGCCCATGAAAAGGTACTGGCCGGAGGCGATAAAGGGTCTGAACTAAGGACGGTGGTGCTGGAAACGGAAAGATCAGGAATAGAAGGCAGGGCACAGGAGGGAAGGTGGCTAGGTGATGAGTGAGGCACGCCAAGTGACCGACGACAAGAGACTGGAACCAGGTCAGCCACACCTGACTTCGAAGGAAAGGGAGGCCACACAGTGACAGAGTCTTAGAGAGCTGGTCTACCTTGTCTGTTCTGGGAAGCACTGAAACTGTGAGGTCTATTAATAAAGCATCTTCCCACTATTACCTAGGAGTCAAAAATACTGAATCCACAGGCTGAATCCAAGGGAATGAAGGGAATTTCAGGGAATTACAGATTACTAACTGGGATAGACAACAATTTACTACTTTGAAAAGTTATAAGTTTAGGGAAAGAAATCCAAAATCGATATTTTTCTTAAATAAAATTAAAGGTGGGTCACACTAAAAGCAAAAATTCTAAATATTGCCTACAATAATTAAGTACAGAAAATGAAAACTTCACCTTGAAATTTTTCTAGACCAATAAAGCACTGTAAGAGTTCTCAGTCCCCAAAGCACAGTGTGTGTGAATTACGCACTCATTAAAATCATTTGTTCATTCAGCAAGGACCCATGAAAATTCCATTAAACTCCAAGAATTTCATTTTTAGATTTACAGACACTTTCATTTGCTTGCTGAGAAAGCCTGCATTTTGTTTTCCTGTTCTGGAACACAAAGTAAGTATCAATGGCTCATCTGCGAAGTCACCTCCTTTCACGGCCCAGCCTGGGCTATGCAGTGGTCAGTCACCTATGGTAACCACAGACACCTTTAAAGTACAGGGTTCCAGGGGACGACAGACCTATGTGAAATACACGCGAGCTGGGGTTTCTCTATTTGCTTTTTGTTAGAATATGTAAATCTTTTCAGGATTTATCAGAGATAATTAAGACATTTTTTCAGTTTTTTTTAACAAGATGATTTTTAGAGTTCAGAGTTGCCACTAATAGCTATAAATACCAAAGTGTCATTTAGGGATCAAAAACTCCAAATAAGGTTAATCGCCACCGTCCCCCCTTCCCCGGGCCCACATTAAAGGGAAATTGTTTTTTGGTTTGAGATATTAACCATGTTAAAATAATAAATTAAAACACTACTATCTGAAATCTAAAAGGGAACAGATATTATTATTAATCCAAAGCGGGCCACAAGTCCGCAAACGGCATGCACGTATACCCAACATAATACTGTGTACGGGAACAATATTTCACTGCCAAGCCAAGGCAGAGCGCCCTTTTCTCTTCAGCCTCTCTTTTCGTGTAACATCTATAATGTTAGAAGATAAGCTGCCAATTTGCAATGCAAAGAAACAAAGATAAATGGTGAACACTCAGGCTGACTAAACAATGCTACCTATATACAAATGCATAAGCAAAATCTAAGATGCTTTCATAAACCAATGTAAGCTCCAAAATCTTTATAAAATGGGTTTAAAACCTACTCATATGCATGTATGCAAATACTATCTACATTACAGTTGTTAGGAAGGTTCTCTTGTAGGCACCCATCTCTTGAATTCACAATTCTTTAATTGTGAATCATTCCCTGATTCTTTTCCTATGTAAGAATTGTAGACGAGGGCCTATATTTCAAGTCTGGAAAGCCCCCAAGTAGGTCTAGCTTAAGCTCTGGGCCTAGGGCACAAGGGATGGGCGCCCAATCACCTAATCCTCTTCTCAAGCAAACCAAACAACCCCCCCGATATATTATGTACTCTGCAGAATTATCCACAGCAATTGTCCATGATATCAGAACAGGTAATTCAGAATAAGTCATATCTGCAACTTTCCTAATGTAAGCTATAAGGGCAATGAGGAATACAGACGGATGTATTCCATGCAGAAAACTGAATCTGGTAAATTTTCTAATTAGGAGATCTTCCATATGTGTATACTTTCATTCTATCAACACTTGCTGGAACATCTTCCCTGAACCAGACCCCAGCTAAAGGTTTTCTTTTGTCAAGGCAACTGAACAGAGTACAAATCTAACACAATACTCCCTATATAACTTCAACATTCCTCATACTATCTTTCATTTAGCCTCCATCCAAAGATACACAGAAATAGTAAAAAAACACAAATTACCTATTTCTTCTGAATTATTTTCTAAGGAACTAAGTGGGACATTTCATAGTAATGATATTAGATAAAACAATTTCTCAGTATGCCATTTTACTTACCTTAAAAAAAGGTCAATACATCAAAAGAAATGCAGGCCTAACATTTACACACTGCCCTCTTTACAAGACAGAATGGCATATAATTAAATAAATATAAAGTTGATGTAACAAGTTCAAAATATTATGCACTGTAATATACATGTATTTATTTGTAAAACAGGGATTATATTTATGTGTGTGCATGTGTGTATGCGTGTGTGTGTGTGTGTGTATTTAAGGACAGGAATTTTCGTTAAAAGCTAGCCAGTGAGGTACTGGCGGGCGGGGGCTGCCCTCACATCCTCACCTGTCGAATGATACTCTTCACACAACGTACTGGGAGGCCTTGGTAATTGGACTTGATGATCCACTTGAGGAGATGGTGGCCGAGTACTTCGAAGACCATGCAGACATCTGGGACATGGTTAAGGATCATTTGCAGATACATTTCCTGGAGTGATACAATTACTCAAAGCAGCATCTTTGTGGCACTTGGCAATTTTTTCTTTATAAAATGCAACATCACGGGGGGGGTGGGGTGGGAGGGATGGGGTGACTGGGTGATAGACACTGGGGAGGGTATGTGCTCTG